AACGGAGACGTAACAATAGCATTTCAGATCTGCTTTCTGTCTCCTATAAGTCACAGAACCAACCAGAACGCGTCAGCTGGGTTGGACAATGGGAGATACATGGTCATTTGTGAAGTATTTTAATGCAGTATAAAAACTTTAGAGTTACAGTTTAAATGCTGATAGCTTACAAAGCAGTTGTTTTTAGCTTAGATATTAGACCTGTTGGATTCAGTGGCAATCCGCGTTTAAACCATAACGTTTAAATTATTGTATTACTATATAAGTAGAACTTTGGTCTCATCATCCACACCAACTTACGAGTTCTAGAACGCCAGGCCTACTAGGCAGTGACTGTCGAAGGACAAAAAATATATCTGACATGTTATATTTGCACATCTTCGCTTTGATATCTGAAATGGATAACTGAAGAGGAATGTATGAAAAAAGACCTGTTTTTAACATGATTTTTCTCATAAATATTAGGTCTTATGGTGCTAAGCCAGTTTTAGGTGATTAATAAATCGTAAAAGCGAAACATTGTTTGAAACACGACCATGGTAAATTGCAAAACATCTGGCAAACTGCCAGTGTAAACGCACGTGTTTGTCCCTCGTCGACATTGTAGCACTATTTCTTTGTCCGGAATTAATTCACAGCTTTAAATATTCTTTATTTACGAATCACTATCAAGGCTCTGATATTCAGTAATAGAAGTAGTTTATATTTAAGTAGTTTTCTGCATTGTGTACCATTTACTAACATTATTGTATATAATTTCTTTCTCTTGCACGTTCAACATATGAAGAATTTAAGATGTATTATTGCGCTGATGATATTAGGACATGACATCACCACACCTTTCTAGCACGTGATTAACCTGCACATGGTTCAGTACAATAACAACGATGCTATGAATGATTAAAAGCTGATTAAACATTGGCTTCTGTTATTCAGTAACTAAAATATTAAATCTTTGAAACAAGTTTTTTAATTGAAAAGTCAGTATATTGGTCCTATCAATAATGAAAACAAAACTAAAAGCTTTTCTAAAAGCACAAATGAAACATTTTAGGAGGGTTTTTGACTTCCGTCTTTTCTGTGCATCAGGAGGGAGTAGGATCAAATTGATAGAAAGGCCAGAATAAAGCGTGTTACTAGCTCCGCCTTCTGCTAATTCGACCTTTACTCGTGATTGGTTATCTAACGATGCTTCTTATGACGTTAGAGTGAGGCCTCAAACGTAGCTGTGTCACATGCTTAGGTTGGTCACGGTTTTGTATCAATGGTTGTCCGTGAAACTAATAGCTTGATTTAAGGATAAGTTTTATGCCGTTTATCTTATGAAAATTATGCTTTTAAAGTACATTAACTAAAGTTTCGTTAAATTGGGGATACATGAGAGATTGAAAATGGTTAGCATTAACTGAGTTAGCCGAGAGTCAATACTTGCTACGTCAATCACATTTAGCTTACCACGTGGTGCGTCAGGACTTTCGCTATAACGTATACTGATTGTTTTGATGGGCTCCCGCCATCTTGAGATGTACAAGTGGTCAAGAATTTGTTGCTGCGTGCTCTGCGTTATGAAAGTTCTTTGCTTTAATTTTTATTTTAGTGATTAGACAAAGAAGTGTGAGATATGAGCCTCGAAACTTTATTAGAAGCAGCAAAGTACTTGGAGTACAGAACTCAAGCAAAGGCACGTGGTAAGTGCAGATTTCATTGATCTTAGGGGAAATAGCAGCAACCAAGCGGTTGGATGCGTTACCGTGCGTTACGCGCACACGCGGCGTGGTGGTCTTGTAATACGGTTTTTTTTTGTTTCGAGGGGAACTTTTAAAAAGTATTTTGTATCGTAAGGGTCTTTTTTTCGTTTCAATATGAATTGACTTATTACAGAAGAACGTTGTTTGACATTACTTTCAGTTAATAATCAGAAATGTTTATGCTAATTAAGATATCCTTGTTTAATAAGATAATGGTTGTCAGTAAAAAAAAATCTAATTTTCTACTCGTTTGGTAAGTCTATAAAAAAATGAAAAAGCTTTGCAGTCGTAATTTGATGTTAATTTTACAAGTCTTTTAAACAAAGAAATAATTAGATCCTATTTGTATGAATTTTCATTACAATGTCGACTTTATGATCATATTTCTTAAATGAATAATTTCTCCTGATTTTAGGAGAAGAGCCTCACGATTATCCAACATTCGCTAACTTATCAGTTGGTAACGCAAATAAAGCTGCTGCTTCATGTCCTCTTGCTAACCAAACGATCAGAAACAATTCAGAATCTCCAGAAGGCAGTTCGTCTCCTATTAATCAAGATAATGCGGAAGACCAAAAGGAGAAAAGAAGAACTGGGGGGTTAGTAGCAAATCTAAAGTGTTCACTCTTCGTAAATTTGTATAGACGTGTAGTTTTCCTACTTTTGGGATTATGTTATTAGCATTTCCAATGTAAACAAAAGTTAATCTTCTTACGTCTTGCATAAAATAAACCAATGATTATCAATGTTTTGTATTACACTTTACAGTATAAATAATGTATTTAGATTTGTTATCAAAGTTAATTTTTTTTGTTCTGAGAAAGACAGTGAATAAGTATGTAAGAGATATAAAAGACATGTTTTTTTATTGTAAATCACGTGTATTTCGATATATCAGTTTTATATAGTATAGTATAGTATTAGTAGTATTAATAGTAGTTGAGCGACATATTTGGTCTTATCAGTAAACCGATAAGAATCAACACTTTTAACACGTAGTTCCTCGCCATTTTGAAGCAGTTTTTTTTTTCTGACGTAAGATATGAATGTAAGAAATATGATAGCATTAGTAATAAAACAACATATTACAAAATTTATAAAGATAAATCTTTCGGTACGTTTCTGTTCGGGGGGAGAGGAGGTCTGTGGGCTGACTCATTTTAAATAATAGCTCGTGTCTTATTGATTAAAATAGGGTAATAGTTGATCTTATAAAACCATAAAAGAATGATACTTTTGTCAAGCCTTCAAATCCAAGATGTTTTTTCGTATAGTACTTATCACTGATATGAAAAACTATTATTTTTGATTTATTATTAACAGACCCTAGTCTATAGAGGGTAGATAAAATTTAAATAAAGGATTGGCGAAAAATTGGTTACTTCCTAATGATTGTTTTATTGTGAAGCGCAAAACTGTACAGTGGTCTAGTTGTGTTGTGCCCAACATGGGGGATCGAACACCGAATTTTAGCTTCATAATCGTAATGAATAATTTTTTTCCGAGCACGGAACAGAGTAGAGTATTAAACACTATTATACGCATAACAAATTGTACTCGTGCTCTTGCGGACAAACAACATTTTTTTAAAGAAGTTAACGCAGATCCAGGAAATTCTGTCATAATGACGGCTACCCATTTTTATTTGAATCATCAGGTTACCGACAGCGTACGTAAAGTGATTTTTGTGATTAATTAAGAATTTCAATCCATTTTTAGTACATAAAACACACCATACAAAGTTTCCGTGCATATAATGAATTTGAAGAATGTTTTGCAAACACAAATCCCTCGCCTCGGGTTAAATATATTTCAAAATTTACTCATTAAAAGGCTGTTGCCTCGTGATTAATATATCTCAAAATTTACTCATTAAAAGGCTGTTGCCTCGGAATAAATATATTTCAAAATTTACTCATTAAAAGGCTGTTGCCTCGGGATAAATATATCTCAAAATTTACTCATTAAAAGGCTGTTGATTAGTTTATTTAACTCCAGAAGAGAAAAATTGCACAAAACTTCATTATTTGGGGACTGTATACGCCAAAATGGACGGAGTTCAAGAGGGGTCATGGTTCTGTGCTCTTGTCTCTGCGAGAAAGCATATATTTGCGATATTTGAGACTATATAGAAACAAGGACGTACAGAAGAAGGATCATTTTGCCCGCATCTCTTGTTTTAGTCGTGAAGACATTGAAATAGAGAATACTTGTACAAACACCTTTGTTGAAACGATATTTACTTTGCGTTGTAACTGTTCGGCTGTTAGGTTGATTAATTATTCTGTTTTTACAAGTCTTGTGGTTTTTATGCGACTTTGAGAATTTATCTTCTTCGTTTCTTTAATTTCCGACAAGTTTGCTGATTGTGCATGTATTTTGAGAATTTTTAATTGAAATATTCTACATAAATTCACTTAATTGAAAACTAAATAACATTAAACATTATTGTACTAATGCTTGGCGTGATGAAGACTTTAATAAGGCTGCTAAATAGTTTTTTTCCACATCTCCATTGTAGTTGATAGAAGGTCTGTATAAGTTACAAATAATGTTTACGAGCACCCAATCATTTGATCTCTTAACTGTTCAGGGTTTATTAAATATATATTCTTCATCACTAAATATAAATATTAATCCAAATCTATTACTTGATTCGGCACTTGTCACTGAGTTATACCGGTTTCCGAGGAATTCCACCCCTCATCAGTAACCCTGGAATCGAAAAACAAGACTAGGCTTCCTGATTATTTTTGTTATTTTTAACAACTTATCTTCTGAATAATTCAGAAGAATAAATTAGTAGAATATGTACTACATATTCGTGAAATCCTAGAGAAGTAGAGGTTCACTGTCGTGAGTAAGAGACACCTTAAATAAAATCATTACAATGTTTAAACTTAAAAATGTTGAGTTTTAATCTCTGCCAGTAGGGTATTTAACAGATACTTATTGATAACGAAATCTAGTTGTTTCATTTATGCGATATAAAGAGTTTGTTGTTAAAAACTGAAACGCGCATTCCCCCCAGTGACTCAACGGTAAACCTGAAAGCTTATAACCCTAACAACCGGGTGTCGATACCCTCGGGCACAGTACAGATAAGCCATGGTGTAGCTTTATGCTTAACAAACAAAAACTGAAACGCGTAGAGAAAACTTCGGTTCTTCAATTAAACACAATCATTTTTAGTATCTTCTTATGACTATCATTCCAGTGTCGTGATAGTCACTAAAAGGTAGGCTTAACAGTAACACTATTTCGCCTGGCAACGTTTAACGCAACTCATCATTAAACAGCATTTCGTTACGAAACGTTTTTGTAGAGAAACGTCGATTGAAATGTGCTATGTAGTAACTTCTGAGGCAAGCTTCTCAGCAGAGCAAGCAATGTGTATGTTTTATGTCACTTTTATTATGTTTTATGAAAAAATAGAATGTGTGAAAGTGAGTCTCTATACAACTAGAGGTACAGATAAAGTAATAAGATGGATATATTTCATGTGAAGCTTTGAAAACATTTTTTGGAGGTTTTGAGCCAAATGATGATAATAAAAAATACTGCAGTATGGATCAGATGCGAAGTAAAATTTATCTATAATGATTTCATCCCTGCGGTAGTACGAATATTAAGTTTCGAATTGTAAATACTGGTCTTTCTGACGGTTTGTGCCTATTTTACAGTTACCGTATGTGCCACGAAGGATTTAAATGTGCTATACGAAATAAAAATATATGTGATTCTGTAAATAATAATAATAAGAAAGTTTCTGATATCTTCTGCAACTGTGGAGCACATTCATCATTGAAATGCCATATCTTGTTCATGTAGATTATATCAGTTAGGACTGAACTTGTATAAATATTTGTACTTGGGTATTAGCGCTACTGTGTAAAACGTTAACACTAACAACAATATAGACGTTTTTGAAATTCGAGTACTAAATTTTGTCAGGAGTCCGATCAGTTTTTGTAATATGTACATCAATTTAATTAAGTTAAATGCACATATTTGTTTAAAACCAATCCACAAATAGGTAAAGTATGCTGTAATACTATCGAGGTTTGTTCACACAGTAGTGTAGTTGTAAAATGATTATTGATATTCAATCAAATTTACAGCACAATTTATGTAGTGTCCCTAAACGTTGATGAAGAGAAACTTTCCTGGTACATAGGCGTTGATCATATTCAAACAGAGTACATAGAGGGTGTTAACGTGTCAAACACGATCGAATGGGGCAGTAAGTTGAATGGAAGGAAAATGTTGGAATTTACAGTTATACAGCCGTTAATATCAGTTTATTGAAATCTCCAACTTAAAGATCAAACACGCGCACAAAATAAATAAATAAAAAATTGTCGGGCATACTCTCCATCAAGGGTCATTGTTCTCTTACTTAAACTTAAAGTTAATTTAAGAGCTCAGATTTCGATGGTGTTTCATATTATTAAATATTTTAAAGAAAACTTAAGTCATATGAACGTAACATCTTGTACACTACCTATAATATATATACGAAATCAGAATATAAGCCTTTTCTCATCATACGCTTAGAATAATTTCCTTAATTCTAAAAACTTCTCTATAAATATTGTCTATTTCTTAGTGCCACAGAACAGAACAATTCTCATAATTTAGCCCATGTATGCCTTTTAGAAACTATTCTTTGTGTTGTGAGCTGGAAATAAATATATTTACTTCGGTAAGTTAAATGACCTATTTTGATGTAAAACCTTTTTTCACGATAAAAATAACAAAAAAGGTGAGTTTCCATGATTAAAATTGTAATACAGAGGCCGTCGAGTGAGGTACTGACCGCTGCCCAGTATGACCTTGAAGAATATGACGGCCCAGTCCAGCAGTTCAACTTTATTAATTATGTGGCTGCATGTTGACCGAGATGTTTGGTTTTCTGCAGAAGCCGAAACTGCTGCTTTTTGAAAGTCTTCTAGCTACGTCAGTTATTCTTGAGGGGGTAAATCAGACAAAGAAACCCAGGTAAAACAAAAACACCTATGTAGTCAGTTGACCTGGGGTAAGAACTCATGGCCAAGGTGAAGAAAAGGTAGTAACGGGGGAAATATGTTACTTATTGGTGTGGAAACGCCAATGTATATATTCATATTTCGTATGAAAGCTTGTTTTGAACTATTCAGTTTGGAAGTTAGTTCTTACATTAAACGTTTCTTAGTTTTTTTTTTCTACTCACCACAAAACAGTTTACGTGTACATTAGCCCTATTGTGGCAAGAGAACTCGAACTATTTTAGGCAAACATTCTATAGTGGTTATTGTTGTGTAATGAAGGGAACAGTAGAGCAACAACATTCAAAATAATTTAAATTTTAAACTAATTTGGTCGAGACAAAATGTCAGTCTAAAACATTGTAAACCTTTTATTTTATTTTAATCCGAAACTCTAAGCATAACGGAAAATTTTGCCCTTTCAGCTAGTTGGAAAATATACTAATAAACTATTTAGTGATTCGTTTGTTTGATCTTATGGTTGTCATATTAAGTAGATCTTGTAATTCTTATTGTTTAATTTGTAATTCTAAAGTTAATTCACTTTAAGTATAATTTGTTTGTATGCCCAGAGCTGGAACGAGAGAAGTACACAACAAGCTGGAAAAAAATAGGTAAGATTTGTCTTGTTAATATAGAGTTTAAAGTTTTCCTTATATTTATTACTTTTCTGTATTTAAATGACAACTTGTTTAGTTACTGCAATATCCGAAAACCTGTCCAATTTCTGAAGAACATGTTTAAGCTATTTTTGTGTTGCTCGTAAAAATATTTTGAAAGCAACAGGAATATTTCAAAATATGAACGTCAAATCCTATTTTTCTACATCGTTACATGCGTATAAATTATGGCTCTCAAGTAAAACATGTGTAATATATGTATTTCGAATGATACACACGCATATATAGGTTTACACTGTTGAATTATCCATTAATTTGCACAAAAAATAACAGCTACGCACGAAATACATACTTAAATGCACACCTTATTTTAAATGGCAGTTTACATGTTTTGTCAGTTGTCAAGTAAGTCTGCAAACAAGCGCGAGATCCCAGATCTTCTTCATTCATTAAAATTCAAAAGTATATATAATGTATTTCGCCTGATGTCATATATGTACATGCCGAATTTTATATAAATATATGGATCCAGCCCTGAGATCCTTCAAATCCCCATTGATCCACTATGGAGGCTCAAATATATACATTTTGATGGGATCTTTGCATTTTATTACCTATTTTCAAGTAAATCGGTTCTGTCAAATTTTGGGAGCCACAAAAATCCAATGACACTCCATTTTTGGGGGCCCTTTTATGACTACAGAAATATTTTGTTCGCTTGTGTTTTTGGAGGGTCAAGAGCCTACGTGCAAAATTTCAAGTGCTTTTGTCACACACACATATATTTTTATCTAAAATTTCCTGTTATTACCGTATATTGTGTTATATGATTGAAGTTCAGTAGGGTAAGACAAACGTAACATTCTTGATTTATGTTTTGTATGTGAGTAATTTTAGAAGTAAACCCCCATTAAGTTCTTCTGAAAAGGCTTTATGGTTTTATATGATGCAGCTAATGACATATGGTGTTTGCATGTTGCAAATAATCGTTTGATGTTCAGTGACTTGACAGTTTTACTGTATGGAATATTCCAGAAGAGCTCATCTGAAAGAATGTTTTGAAACCCTGAAGAAACAGCTTCCAAATATTGATGAAAGGAAGATTTCAAATTTGAGTATTCTTCGTGGAGCTTTAAGATATATCCAGGTCAGACTGAATTTCAATCTCTACTCCCTGTTATTTTCTGATTACAAGTTTTTGAAACCACGTTATATGAGCTGTGTCACATTGGTACAAGTGACGTCATTATGCTGCAGGCTCTTGCTTTAGCTGCGTCTCTTCCCCGCGGTTAACTGTTCGTCAAAGCTGTTGGATATCTCTTTCTTTATTTTATTAGTTCATTTGTTTTTAAGACACTTTATTTATGCTATATAAATTTTAATATTTTTGTATATTATTAAAACGTACTTGAAAGCGGAAAGAAAGAAATTGCGTATTGGTTTTCATGGATTGGATATGTTATATGCATGTTACGGGGCCTTCGATATTGGGACCTCGCAGAGCACATGCGTTTCGATGCCATGCGTTTGAACTAACCTGTATGGCGATTGCGTGACTTCATTTCACGACAGAAACTAATTTTGTTATTTACATAAGGACATGTTAATAGAAGTAGACTTTAATAAAGCATGTTTGTGAGTATTAACGCTGATAAATTTTAATGTCAAAATGTGGAATACTATTACAACAAAGAAATAGTTGTGATCGTATTCAGGTATAGTTTTCCTTTGGTAGCCATATTTGTTGAACAAAGTTAACCAATCTACACTTCTAAATAGATACATAACAGTTACTATGGCAATACATTTATTTGATAGTAGGTGGTCTATAATTTTCAAATGAGAAAATTGAATAGATATATTGATAGATAAAGAGATAATATTATATATTTGGTCAATCTTATACGTCATGTTAAAAATAAGGTGTTTTTGGTTCTCAACGTATACTTTTGAAATATTTGAATCAAAAGTTAGTGCTACCGCCTACACAAGGATTTGTATTTAAAACTTCTGCATTCGCACGGCTGATCGTATGTTCATTTTTATCTATCCAACAACGTTCGTTGAACAGGGTTGGAGGCGTGATGCACACGCCACGTTCTCGGTTGGTCACGTGCGTCGAATTATTTTAGCTGCCATAGCACGTGCGTGTTGGCAGGGGACATGTCAGTGGTTCGCGTTCCTAGGCCACTGATATATCTTATGCTTTTCGGTTCGGTAGATACATATCAAAGACCATTTGTTAATAATAATACGTGTAGTGTTTAAGGTCCTTTGGGCGTCCCGAGTATATCGACGATGATTACGTTTTAGCCTCGTTAAAAGTGTAGAATTACCTGCTCTAACGAATACTCGGCGTAATTATAGCCATTACTTTATAATAAATATCTTGTTTGTCAAATTTCTTTAATTATATCATTAACTACGATTAGAAACAACAAATTAGTTTGGTTTCCAAAAATACATATTCTTTGAAATGATAAAAAATAGCCACTTTTATTGTCATTAAAATAGCGAGTAGGAGATTTTTAAATCACTTATAGCAAGAGGTGTTTTATAATATAAGGCGAGTCCATAATTAGGACATTTATACACATAAAAATCCAGCAAATTTATGCAGGAAATATCCCAAAGCTCATAAACGTTACTTCTTTTTTATTATCTTAAAACAGCTTCCAAGTAAAGAAAATATAGTTTGTAACATAACTTTTGATTCTTGTACAGTTTGTAACTCATTACATAAGTCACTGTGAAACAAAAGTTACTGGGACATAAGGATCTAAGCAAATGAATTCAAACACCCTATTCAAAATTGTTAGAAGAAAACCAGAAATATTCCTCTAGAATTCGAAGCTCCTTGCAAACAAGTTATTGTTACACAAAATAGTAGTATCATACATAGATGCAAGTTATATTTGGAAAAAGATCACATTTTAGTGTTTATTTTAATTCCTATATTGAATGAGCAATGGGTTGGCTTTATATATTTTGCTGCCCATCTCAACTGAAACTCCTGCACCATTATCACTACTAAACATATATACAGCATTACATAAACAAAATTTTGCACTTCTAAGTGAAGAGGCCTATCTGTCTCTTACTTGAAGTGTTTAGGAATCATTTTAAATTCCTCATATATTTTTTTTTTAGCTCCAGAAGTGTGAAGTACTTCTTTAACTAATCTTAAAATAATCGTTTTTAACATTGAACATTACACAAGTGCCAAAAAACAATACTTGTTTAAGGTTAGCTTCTAGAGCCCATAACTGAACATATTACTCCCAGTGTGGCTTAACTAGTGACATGCAATGAAAGTGCAACCTCTTTAGACTTGTATTCAATATTTCTGTTTATACAACCTAAAATTCTATTTACTTTATCACTAGGGAAAAACACATTGAGTGGATGACTTAAGTAACTAATCAATCAAAACACCACAATTCTTTCTTTCTATAACACTGTTAAGATTATTGCCATCAAAATGATACTTGTGGCATTAATATTTGACTGAACTCCATTTACGGCAACCTTCTGCTTTCTTCCATCTAGACAGTTGAGCCAACTTATTCTCCACACCTTTTATTTAGCACATTAAATCCACATTCATATCATCATCTACATAAGGAATAACCTCTTCAAAGAATGTCAGAAGGTTAGTAAGACAATATTTTCTTCAAGTGAAACCATGTTAACTATCCAAATAAATGTTTAGCTTTGTTAAATTACTTTGGTAGTCATCTTTTATCAGACTTTCAGAAACATTTCCCACCACTGATATAAAACTAATAGGCCTATAATTACTGGAACAATTTTATCACCTCCCTTGAAAAGAGGAATGAACACTAACCAACTTCTAATTATCTGGAACCTGCCAGCTATTCAAGGACTTACAAAAAGTAGTAGCAAGTGGCTCACATATAAAATACTTAACCTCTTTCAAAACCTTTGTGGAAATATTATCTGGCCCAGGAGTGTTGTCCTTCT